TTTCGCTCGGTTTCGGTCAATGCGTGCGAAATAAATGCGATTGGGCGCCAAATGCTGTCTTGGTTTTGGCTCAAAACTGATCCTGTTGCCCCTTCCGAAGCATCGGCTTCCAGACAATATTGGCCAGTGTCATTTGGCAGTGCTAGGACCGCATCCTCCGCGATTCTCTTCTTCAATCCATCAAATGCTGCATGCTCATCTGCACCCCATGACCATCCTGCCTTTCCTGTCAGCTGTGTCAATGGCTTGGCAACCTCCGCGTATCCCCGGACAAAGCGCCGATAGAAGTTTGTGAACCCTAGAAACGCTTGGACTTGTTTGACGCTCTTTGGTTCCGGCCATTCCATCACGCCCTTGATCTTGACTGGGTCCATCCGCATCGAATTGTGTCCAATAATTACACCCAAATATTCGATTTCTGTGCGTTCGAACTCGCACTTTTTGGGCTTCAGGTATAGCTTGTGTTTCTGGAGTAATTCGAGCACTCGTTTCGTGATCCGCCGATGTTCGTCCAAGTTCTCTGTAAAGATCAGTATATCGTCCAGATAGACTACCACGTGTCCCTCGTTGATCAGTTCTCGGAGTATGTCGTTCATCATGTTTTGGAAGGTAGCCGGGGAGTTCGTGAGACCAAAGAACATGACCAAGGGCTCGTACAGTCCACGGTTCGTGCGGAACGCAGCCTTCCACTCGTCACCCTCTTTGATCCGTACGTTATTGTATCCCCATCGGATGTCGAGCTTGGTGAAGAACTTGGCGCCACATAGATTATGGACCAGTTCGGAGATCAGCGGCAGCGGGTACCGATTTCGGATTGTCATCTCGTTCAGCTTCCAATAATCCTGGACGGGACGTAGTGAACCATCTTTCTTTTTGACGAAGAAGAATGCTGAGGCCATGGGTGATTTTGATGGTCTGATTCGTCCGCTGGCCAGGTTCTCTTGTAGGAACTCGTCGAGTTTGACCTGCTCGTTTCGTGATAGCGGGTACACCTTGCAGTCCACTGCTTTGGAACCGGGTTTGAGCTCAATCGCATGATCCCAGGTTCGTCGGTCCGGTAGCGAGTCGAATGATTCCTTGGCAAATACTTTGACGAATTCCCGGTATTGATCCGGAATTTTCCCTTCGGTCATCCTCTCCTTCTCTTTTTCCGCTTCTTCTGCGAATTTCTGCGCCGGTGTTTCCTTCAGCCGTAGATCTACCTCCTTTCCAAAGTCGATCAGCAGGATCGATTCTCCCTCTTCCAGATCCGGTGCGCTCGTGTCCAGGTCGATTGCATCCATGTCAATCATCGCTTGGTGTTCCTCGTGACCCCTCATGTGACACCGTTCTGGGCATCGGCTGAATCTCATCGTTTGCTCCTGCCAATCCACCTCCGGGTTGTGTTCCGTCAGCCAGTCAAGACCAATGAAGATCCGGGCCTTCCCCAAGCACGTCAGAAGGAATGTGCGTGTCTCCACGTGAGGACCGATTCTCATCCTTAGGTCAACGTAATGCGTGATCCGGCCGCTGATGTTTTCGGTGTTGTCGGCGTTACGAGCCACAATGGGTTGGGGAAGTTCTTGGATATCCAGCTTCTCTGCCCGCGCGTAGTCGGTATCGATGCAGCAGGTGCTACAGCCACTATCGAGTAGCGCCTTGACTCCGCGCGTCTATCCTGAGTCCAGGCCTGTGATCTGGACATATACGTCCATCGAATGTCTCTTCCTTTCGGCCTGGTAGTTGCACAATTCCTGTGCCAGTCTGCTGGGCTGGGGGCCCTTCTGTCTCTCGGCTGCCCATTTCCTTTGAACGGCATCCGGCACCCTTGTGCGTTTGGGTGCTTCTGGAATCCTGATTTCGGCAGATTCCTTGGGCGCTTCCTCCTTTTTCAAGGATTGAGCCTCCGGAGCAATGCTCCCCTTTTCGGTCTTTGTTGACGTGGTTCCTTCTCCACGAGCCATAAATACGTAGGAGTCCAAAATTAATTTATCTGCAGCTTTCTGATCCTTTTTACTTTGTAAATACTCTCTATTTAAAACTATTTTTCTTTGTCGTTCCTTTTCCATATCAGCAATGAGAAAATCATGAATATTGGTACGTAATGAGTCCGAGATTGTATATGTATGTGTAGAATCGTTCATGTCTTTAATCGAAACAAGTACAGAAAAACGTCCATAGTCCGGACGCTCCACCTCCTTGGCTAGAGGAGTGGAGCACTTCAAAAACCCTTCTCGCGCAGCTTCTCGGCGATCTCCTTCAGGAACTCGTTGTCCTTGTCCCCGTTCTCGATCTCTTCTAGCATTGTGGCCCGATTGAAGAACGTGCGCTTCTTCTTGGGCTCAGGGCAGTTCTGCGCAATGTGCCCAGGCTGCTGACAGTTGTAGCAGATGATATTGCGGCCACGGGCGTGGGTGCGATCAATCTCCATCGGAACCGGCTCATTGGCCGCTGGTCGGGCCGGAGCGGGTGCAGGTGCTGATGGTGCAGCCTGAGGGCGGAATTGGGGTGGGGGCCGCGGAGTTGAGTGCGCATAGGATGCCTTACGCAGCTGATCGCGCAAGGCATTGGCCTCGATATTGACGCACCAGTTCTTGAAGGCACCATATGCCTTGGGCAGGGGGACGCCGGTGTTGTAGAGGCGGCTTGCAATTTCGCTGCTGAGTCCGCGCTCGAGGAACTCGATGAGGATGTTGTCCTGATCCCCCTTCTTGTACTCGCCCTTGTCATCGGTTGAGGCGACCACGTTGTACCCCGCGTCCGCAGCCAGCATTTCGAAGTCAGAGATGTAGTCCGCGAAGGACCGTCTGCCCTGGCGAAGGGCCATGAGTCGGGCGGCAGCGACTTGTTCTGCGTTAGAATCCCCAAAGGCCCTCTGAAGCTCCTCCAAGAAGCTTGTCGCGGTGACTCCCGCCTTTAGTCCTTGGAAGCCCTCGAAATTGTGCTGCTTCCAGTTCATCGCCCATCTTGAGGCGGTGCAGCTTGTGCCGCTCTCATTGCGGAGGTAGGACAGGACGAAGAGGATTTTCGTCTCGTCCAGCGAGAACTCTGACCAATAGGCACCGATGTAAGTGGTGCACGCGTCCAAAAAGCCCAGGTATTTGGACTTGTCGCCATCAAAGTAGGGGGGGTTGGCAGCGAGAGTGATGCGGTGATGTCCTGACATGGTAGGAGCAGGTGCGGTAGGTGGGGGCGAGGGTGGTTGTTTGGAGGGTAACTCGCCAAGGTCGGGGATCTCGTCTTCAGGCGGCGGGAGGGCGAGGTAGGGGTTGGAGGGTCCGGGTTCGTTTTGATGCGCCAGATCGGGCGACGATGGTATGATGGGGGGAGGGGATGGGCTCCCAGATGACAATGGGAATCGGTACGAAATGGTGGATTCGTGTGCTGTACAAGCACTCGAGGAGAGGTTCTTTTGCTAGCAAAAAGATCCCGGGCCTAGCTTTTCACGTGCCCGATGATCCCGAGGTGCGTTTTCCCGAAGGTCTCCGCAGCACTCCTTGTAGCTACCGTAAGGCTTGGGTCGGGCTCAACGTTACCTGTGGCCTGGTGCTGTTTGCTCGATATGAACCTTTCACTGCGATCGCAGCGAGCGACTAGATGATTCGGTAAAAGGGTGAGTGGGGTGGTAAGGGTGAAGAGGATATAGCGGGCGTAGCGGTGCACGGAGCAGGGTAGGAGGTAAGAGGTACGAGGGTATGAGGGGAGTCTTCGAATTATGTGACAATCAACCCAAAACAAAGTCGAAAAGAGAAGTGAATTCGAAGCCTGGAGAATACAACCAAGTAGCTACAGTATTTATACCCAAATCCAGTCTGAGTCATATCTACAACTAATGAGTCATAGGGCTATGTACCGCATGGAACACTGGTCATGGGTTGTAGTAGAACCTTCCGGAGCATATGTCGCGCAGCCTCGAATCGATAGAGATAACCCCTGGAACCCCTAGCCCGGACCGTCTGATGCCGTGATCTGTGATAAGATAAGTCGTGCCAAGATAAGATAGGATCGTCGATGATAAGATGAAAAAGAGTCGAATTATGACAGCAACCTTTTCAAGACCATTATCTTGCCCAGGCTGTCGAACAACATTGCCCATTTGCTGAAGCACCCAGTAATCACATTGCTGCCTGGGACAAGACAGCTGAAATCATGCGTACTAATAGCCTTGCTGACAGACCACTGTCCATTACTGATTGAAGTGGCTCTTCTTGTTGCTTGCACTTCAAGACTCTTATGGAACATCACAGGGTGAGTTCCAATCAACTCTTGGTGACTGGTTGCTCAGACAGTATTCACGCAGAACAATAAAACTCATTCCTTAATGAAGATGGGTGCAGTGGAGGATATATCTCATCATCTCAAGGTGCATCTCTCCTCTGTTCCTGAATCCATGTCTGTGTTTGTTTTCACACACTGACATTTGGTTCAGATTATGACGGAGCTCCAGACCTTGATGGATGACATGGAGCAAGCACCACCTCCCAAGAAGACATCAAAAGCAAAGAAGAAAGCTTAGATCAAGAAAAAAAGCAGGGTTGGAGGCACAGGATGCTGCTGGAGTAGGGGTCACGTGATGAGCAGACATAGTCGACACACATGTACATACATCATCATCTCATCACTATAGACAACCACAAGGAGGCCCACTCCATCTGGTGACAAGAGCGGATTCAATGCACACAGACAAACACAGCAGGAAGATACAAAGCACAAAGCCAGACAAAGTGGCTGACAACAGCAGCAGCAACCAACACACGCGTGACATGCGAGGAAGGTTTGCAAGAAGAGTCATAGAAGCAGCACCAGAAGAGACGAGCAGACCAAGCACCCTGAGCACCTTGCGAAGTAGTGGACAAATGACCCCATTCAAATTAATCTTGCGCGTGACAACCCCAGCACCAAGTGCCAATACCCTCCCAACGTTTGGTGCACCGACAACACCAATTCCATTCCCGACCACTACAAACAGTACCCCGACTACTTGCACCACCACAAACACAACACGTTGCACACTACAACCGATGGCAGACCATGACCCAAATATATTCTACTCTGGCAAGCATGACAAAAACACCATCAGCGCAGAAGATTTCACATGCCACGTCACGCTAAAAATGCAAAGCATGGCGCTAACCACCAACACCAACAAGCTGGAGGCCTTCGGAGACTTTCTGATGGCAGGGGAGCCAGCAGACAAGTGGTGGAAGGCGAGGAAGGTGACAACGACACTGATTACACAATGGGCAGACGTGCAGACAGCATTTGTGGCCAAATTTGACGTGCTGCAAGCAGCAGAGAAAACCAAGCAAGAGTGGGAACAGGAGCTCAGTAAGCTCTGAATCTCCTTGGAAGAGCTAGGGACTAGGACAATGGTGGGAGGCGTGGAGACACATGCACATGTAGCGTTCGCATGGAAAATGCTGCGCATAGCAAAGGAAGTGGGGGTAAAAAAGTCAGGAAGCAACATCTGGGCAGCACGAGACTACCTACTGATCTCCCTTCGAGACCAAACACCAAGAAAAGCCACAAGCTGGGAAGTGTTTGCCATGACCATTGAGAAAGTAGACGTCAATAAGCTTGGAGAGGACTTGGACAAAGAACGTGAGAACAATAAACTCAAAGCAGAGCTCATCTCATTACGATCGAGGACCACACCACGAGCATTGGTTCCACTGTCACCTACGGCGCTGCTGCGCACACAGATGGCACACACAAACATATCAGCAAGCATGCGCATCCCACCGCCAACTTTCAAGTGCAAAACCAACCCACGCAAGCTCAGCAATCACCAGAGCTGCTCACCACGGAAGCAAAAGCCACGCTCACTAGAGTGGTCAAGAAGATGAAAGCAACAAAACAGTTACTGGGAATGACCCCAGGTGACGTCGTGGTCTAGAAAGCAATCCTCTTCAGTTGAGCCTTTGCTGGCCAGACATTCCATCAAATAAAATACTGTGTTGCACAACAGTAGTGTGATTGGGTGTAGGAGCTGAGCCCAGGGCACAAAGCCGACGGGGTGCAGATGACCCCGTAGACTCTGCTCTACTGCTGTACAGCAATCGAAAATCAAACAGGCTGTGGGTGGGTGGGTGAGCGTAGAAATGGGAATTTGTCGAGGATGAGATTGCAGGCAGGTGGGTGGAAGACAGAGTGAGCTCACAGCCACCCCCTACTCTTTGGCTCTCTCCCTCACAAGATGATGCATTGATCTCCCTCTCTCACTCAATACATCCAGGTGGCAGGCGTTTTCAGCATTACAACCGCCGATCTGGGTAGAACAAAGGGGGGTGCCATTATTGCCAGGAACAGTATGGCTGGGAAGTGGAGAGTGCTGGAATTGTGGGAAGGTATCAGTACCAAGGCACAGCGCCAGGAAATGCACGGAACCGGCAATTCCACCTGCTGAGAGGCAATTCTGCTGTATTTGCGCCAAGAACTTACTGAGACCAATGCCAATCAACGCAGTCATAGCGGACTAGATGGACAAGGAAGACAGGGGACTGTCAGATTTTCCGGAAGAGTCGTCGTAAACGCCCACACAACGACCCTGAGGCCAAGGCAAGAGCAAGGCCCAGGAACAGTACCATAGAAGGCACGCATGTTCAAGAAGACATCAGGAAATCGAATGTGATTAACCTCTATGTTGTGGGATCTGGGAAAGCAAGACAGTTTCTGCACCCAATTGGGGTGATAGATGCAACAGGCAAAACAATCAGGATCGAAGCACTGTTCAATGGGGGAGCAGCGGTGAGTGCCATGGACAAAGGAGTATGGAACCGCATCAAGCACCAGCTTGGAGTCAGTAAACCATCAAAACAAATGCTGCAAATGGCGGACAGGACACTGGTAAAACCAACAGCAAGCTGGTCAGGGGACGTTACAATTGGGAAGAGGAGAATAGCGGTGGACCTTGAGATCTTTCCAAGCAGAGGAGGCTGGTTGTTCTTGTTTGGGAAACTATCATTGGCAGAAGCACAAGCAATCCATAACTACATGAGAGACAAGGTAACATTACCAGGACAAAATGGCCTAGCGACAACGGTGCTGAGGAACGACCAAGCCCAACGGGGAGAGAAGAAACCAGACACGCCAAAACTGGAACGTTTCACAGGAGTATTGTCTGCGTTCAGCAAGGACAGTTCAAAGCAAACAGAAATACAACACACCAAAGGGTGGATGGAGAACGACACACAACGCAGAGGGTGGCAGGAAGAGATGGGCAACAAGGAGGCAATAGCAGTCATCCAACACATGGAAGCAAGAACAAGCGCACATGGAGATGATATTGCAAGCACGCAAGGAACATTCAGTGACATATCAAGCCATGATGGAATACCAGAAGCAGACAGCACGTCAATACACACAAGGACAACAGAACTGTTCAGCCCAGAAAGAGTCAAGGCAGTACTAAAACTAGTAACCATTGGACCGGTGAAATGCTGAGGGCGTGCTCACAAGTGAATCTACTATGAAAGTAAACCCAAATATAAAACACGTTCACACTCCTCGTAATCAGCTTCTCAGTGTGTGAAAGATGCGAGGGCTTCGGGGTGGACAGAGCACCAGTATCACAACTCTCAATAGACGCAGATCCAATAGTCGCGGAGACGAAGTCGACGACAAGAATTTATATATAGCAAACAATGGTGTCTCAACCAATATCTTCTATACGAGCACAACCAACACTAATCCAATCCACAAACAACAATATAACAAGTCAGAGCTTAATACGAAGTATTAAGATCCCTTGTAGCGACAGCGTCCAGATGGCGACGCGAAGCTCAAATATCAAGTCGACGCACTGCCAACCGATACAACCAATATACTGAGTCGACGCACTGCCAACTAGTAAACCAAAATGTCAAGTCGACGCACTGCCAACTGACAAAACCAAAAGTACTGAGTCGACGCACTGCCAACTAGTAAACCAAAAGTACTGAGTCGACGCACTGCCAACTAGTAAACCAAAATGCCGCGTCGACGCACTGCCAACTAACAGCCAATATCCAATGTCCAAAACCCGAGCACAACTTGTCGACGCACTGCCAAGCAAGAAGTGTGGAACCAAAGTTCTCAAGTCGACGCACTGCCAACTGACCAAAACAACCCGAGCACAACTAGTCGACGCACTGCCAAGCTAGAGGTGTGGAACGATCTCAACAAAGCCCGAAGGCGACGACACTAAATGCCGCGACTAAACCAGATGCGGCGAATCCGACTTTCTGATGTCTCAACTCAAACTCAAATCACAGTAGCTACAAGTGCTCAGGGAGCAACTCGTCGCGACCGGGCAGGGGTAGCAGAACTTCTTAGGGTGGAATCACGCGGCACGCAAATTGTACAAAACAATCTGAAATGAGAGTGATTCACAGTCCGGGGGAAAGCTTTTTAATACAAAGAGACGACGTGCTACTTATACTGTCTACGACGCTGCTTAGTAAAGTCCTGTACAACTGCATAGTAGCTACGCTATCTAAGATCGGTTGCCTTTTAGGGTAATTGAAAAGTTGAACGATCGGACAGGTCCTGAGTGATCAGGACCCCGCCCCATAGTCCATATGATACTTTTGATGTGGGTCAACCCACCGCGTCATACTTTTGGAATACGACGTGCTGGATTGGCCAACAGGTATGTCTTGGCAAGTGAGACCAACGTGGGCGCCCCAAGAAGCCGTATGGCTCTAGGCACGCCAATCGTCTCCCGCATGGCTCAGTTCACGGATCTAGCCGTATCGATTTTAGTGTGTTTGAGTATGGGCGCGACTCGCCGTGACACTTGGAAGTGTCACCGCGACGCGTCCACAATGTCCCGTGATCGAATGGATCCTGACATGTGACAAGTCGTCGTCGTGGCATGATCTGAGGAAACGTCCAACTCAAAACCGGGAGTTGCCGCGACAAGATGGTTTAAGTCTTGTAACGCCAAGTCCTGTCCAGTAGTAGTTCTATTATTGAGAACGTCGCGCATTGCTCAGCCCTTCAGCCCAAGTTCCCATCTGCAGAGAATGACCCTTATTGAGAAGTCGACGCAACGACATATCCCTTTTTGGGGAATGGTCGCGGTCCAAGCGTTCGTCACTAATGGCCCTGAGCCTGGTGTAGACCCATAAGACCAGTTCCACAGTAGTGGTCTGACTGCCTTGCTATCGTCGACACTATCCACAGTCGTCGACTGGGCAGTAGACCCTTAAGTCCTACTGAGCGCAACACTGTCAACCGCGACACGATACACCGAATGGTTCAAGAGTAAACTCTGTAAAAAGCGCAAAAATACGCCCTTACAGAGCTGGTGCAGAGCGCGTCTGGTAGCCAGCCTATCATCTCCCAGGAACACTAATTTTGACCTCCTGGTCAATCCCGCGACAGTCTCACTGCGTCAGGTCTAAGTCCAACAGTCGACGTCTCATTCAGTTATTATTAAAGCCGCGGAGACATAGAGTTATGTTCCCACGTCTTATTCATTTGGTTGTTCGGTTCCTTCCGTGATCTGCCGCGATCAAACTTCTTCCGGCATGTTCACCATATAAATGCCCTCAATTTTCAGGGTCGAGAGTCTCCCTAGTACGAGACACTCTTGCTTTTCGACCACCATGTCCGCGCCCGACCAGAGCCCCCGCCCCCAAGACAACAACCGTGAGTGACGCCCAGGACGATTACCGCGACTTTTCAACCACGCTAACCGTCCATCAGCCGTCACCGAATCAGCTGTCCCGGGAGCAAACCCGCCTGCCATCGACTGGCGGCAGTTCATGCCGTTAGTCAATGTCTCTCTCATGGCTTGTCGATCCAACTCACCGCCTGCCTAGCCCTGAGGCCTACAACATGATGTTGCGGCAGATGGCCGTCGACGTCCGCCAGATCCAGCAGGTGAGCTCCGTTCTAAGCCCGCTGGAGCGAGCAGTCACGGCGATCAATAATTGCCGCGCCTGTTCGCTTTGGCCTTCCTTCTTTTCACTCACGTAAGGACTAGCCGGCGTCTACGCCCTTGACCACCAACGCTCCAGTCGAGGAGTCGTCGCCGCCCAAGAAACGCAAACGAGTCGTCGAACCCGTACGTGTAATCTGTTTCATTCGTTTACTATGTTCTGATCGACCCCCAGGCGGCTCCAACCGAACAAGTCGCCGCCCCTTCGTCGTCCCGGCCTGCCAAGCAGAAGGGGAAGGGTGACGGCTCCAAGCCGCAGGCCCCAGCCGCCGTCGCGGGCAGCAAGGTCGCCGTCGCCAAGAAGTCGAGCGAGAAGTCGCAGGGGAAGCGACCCAAGGCGACTCCTGCAAAGGAGCCCAAGGCGTCGTCCCACGCGCCTACTCGTAAGTCGCTCTTTCCTTTCATTCACCAGAGTCGCGGGTACTGACTTGTCGTAGCCGCTACCTCGGTCCCTATTCCACAGGGGTCACTTCCCAAGCGCGTTCACAAGAAGACGCACGTAGGTGTGTAATCCTATGTCTTATTTCATTGATCTTTAGACTAACCACCTGGTCCCTCCCAGCCCGGATCCAAGCACAGCCCGTGCAACCCGAGTCCCTCAGCGATGAGGAAGCCGCCGCCGTCGCCGACACTGCGATGGATGTCGACGACGAAGGGGTCCAGGAGGGAGACGCGTCCTCGGCCGACGAGCTGGCCCTTCAGGTAAGTGACCCAGTTCGTCGATCGCGGTTCCTTCGTCTCATGGTTGGTTTGTTTTTGACAGGGGCCCAAGTCCAAGGGGAAAGCGCGATCGAATTTGAGTGCGTTCTTCCTCTTGCCCCCTCTGTCGATTACTCATACTTTCGTAGCCCCGTCCGTTATCGTCATGGACGACACTTCCGAAAGTGGGGAGGAGACCGGCGATTTCGTCGTGGCCAAGAAGCAGGTCAGCGAGACCCGCGTCAAGCCCAAGGTAAGCCGACTCCTTTTTCCCAGACCACGCCCCTTAATCCAGCTTTTTAGCCAATCAAGAAGGTCGCGGACGGATCGTCCAAGTCGACCAAGTCCGTGCCTCCCCAACCGGTGCCAAAGGTGGAGGCCAGTCGCAAGGCGAGCGCCCCGCGAGCGACGACTACCCCGACCCCAGTGGCTAAGGTGAGATACAGACCTTGGTTCCCAGACGTCGACTAACTCGTTTTTCTTTCTTTTCTAGGTTGCCCAGGCGGCCCCCGCCGCTACCAAGACTCCACGCAGTGAGTTGGGCAGGGTGGCCGCGACCCTTGGCCGCGAGCGGAGTGTTGCGGCGGCCAAGGCCGAGCTCAAGGCTCAGAAGGCAGAAAAGTCCGTTGCGGCGGCCAAGAAGAAATCTGACTCGGTGAGTCGCGACTTTTTCTTGTCGTCGACTTTTTACTGACTTGACTGTTTCTAGACTCCTGCGAAGGCGTCGGCTCCCACGCCCCGAGCTCCGTTCACTCCCGCCGCCTACGACACCGAGGCGCTCCTTTCGGTGGCACGCCAAGGGTTCGCGGGGAAGTTGGAAAGGGCCGGCGTTGAGGTGCCCACTGACTTCGTGCGTTCCTTTATCTTTTTCTGCCATGCCTCGACGACTGATTCCCTTTTCATAGGAGGTCGCGCCAAGGCCCTGCGCGATGTGCGTGACGCGGCAGCGCGTCTGCTTCAAGAGCGTCGACGGGCGCCACGGCAATCGGTGCGCCCCGTGCGTGCTCTATAAACAGACTTGCACCAACGGCTACAAGCCCGCGGAGCAGCTGTACATGGGGCAACGCTTCGGGTATATCGCGCAGATGAGCGCGGATGGTACGAGTCCACTCTTATCATTCATTTCTATTTTTGATCGTTTCTGACGACGTCTTCAGATCTCAACAAGTCCGCCAACCGTCTCGCCGACACCTTGGACGCGTACGGCGGGCTTCTTCGCACGGCCAACGAGATCCGCGTCCTGGCCATTGACCAGTTCCGCGATTTCGTTGGTCAGCTGAAGGAGCATTTCGACGACGGCTCGGACGAACGCATCAAGGCGATGTTCGTCCACACCGCGACCGAGATCGATGCCGCCGAGATGGCCGACATCCGCAAGGGTGTTCGGATGATCTTGGCCCACGGGGACTTGTTGGATGGCGAGGCGAACGAGCGGTTCGCGGCACCCCCTGCCTTCTTCGATCCCTTTTTCTATCGCGAGATGGAAAAGATGGAGAAGCAGTTCCAGAGGGAGATCGAGAAGGCCCAGGAATTCGACAAGTCGGACCCCGCGACCGTCCAGGATCAAGCGTTCCAACCTGGCGAGGATCACGAGATCGACGTCGCGCACTTGGCGAGTAGTCGTACCCGTGCGCCTTCCTCGTCGCCCCAGCCTTCGCCATCGCCGCCTCCTGTTGCGTCGTCGTCCCAAGCCGTTTTACAGGTCTTGGACTTTTCCGACAACTACAGCGAGACCTCGGCCGAGTCCACCAAGGCCGCTTCGGATGAAGACGCGGAGGGTGAAGAAGACGGGTCTGCCGGCGACGAGAACGCCGACGAC